AACATTTATCTAACTTATGTTTCAAAAAGAATAAAACGGTTACATGAATTAAACTTATTAATCTTAACATTAATCTAATTTGTGTTAATTAATCTAAGGTATGTTACAAACAGAATAAAAAAGCGGTTAACATTTATCTAACTTATGTTTCAAAAAGAATAAAACGGTTACATGAATTAAACTTATTAATCTTAACATTAATCTAATTTGTGTTGCAAACAGAATAAAACGGTTTACGTTAATCTAACGTATGTTACAAACAGAATAAATGGTTAACATTAATCTAATTCATGTTGCAAACAAAATAAAACGGTTAACATTAATCTAATTTGTGTTGCAAACAAAATAAAACGGTTAACATTAATCTAATTTGTGTTGCAAACAGAATAAAACGGTTAACATTAATCTGACATATGTTACAAACAGAATGAAACAGTTAACATTAATCTAATGTATGTTACAAAAGAATAAAACGGTTACCATTAAGCTAACTTATGTTACAAACAAACTAAAGCAGTTATAATTAATCTAAGGTATGTTACAAACAGAATAAAAAAGTTATCATTAATCTAACGTATGTTACAAACAGAATAAAACGGTTAATATTAAGCTAACTTATGTTACAAACAGAATAAAGCGGTTAACATTTATCTAACTTATGTTTCAAAAAGAATAAAACGGTTACATGAATTAAACTTATTAGGATGGAAAAAGGGAAAATAAAACCCTTGACTTTTTTTAACTTATAGTTATAGAACAAAATACGAAATAAAAACTTATTAACTTGCCAAGACTTAAGAAACCTGTACTAGAACCAAAGAGAATAGAATATATATTAGAGTGGAATTTAGACAATCCCTCGGTATGAATTTTTTCAGTCCCTTTCAGTCTGAAAGGGAGTTCAAAGTGTACAAATCAAGTAAATGTTCACAAATGATATGCAGTAGAGTATATTAATTCAGTAAGTTCCCTAGAATATCCATTTCAATTTCGAATTCTTTAAACTGTTAAATAAACTTTATAAAATGAATTAGTTGAATAAAAATATCATTTGATTTATTATAATTCTAACGAAAAATCACTGTTTGTAAAGTGAAGGGCATAATCAAGTCTATGTGAAATGATCATATGGTCAATGTGAAACCAGCCTATTTCATAATTTGCAGTTTTCTTTTAATATTAATTTCAGATTTTCTATAAAATGATGTTCCAGGGCCCAAAAGGTTATGTAGCACAAATATGTGAAGTACACCTGCAGTATGGAAATAGTACAACAAAATGGCCGTGTTACACGTTTTTTTAGTAAATTCCACTCTAATATATATTCTATTCTCTTTGACTATAACCTGTTCAATGTTCATGCCACACATCAATCCAATCTCCACAAATGTAGGAATTTCATTTTATGCTGAATTACTAATAAGACTATGGGACATCTCGTGTCTCATACTTACAAAAGGGTGGCAAAACCATATTTTTTTTTTTGCATATAAGAATTTCGAAATATTTTTGCATAATAGCTCTTTTGAAAATTTAAAGAAAATTTTTACATATTATCTTAATTTCCAAGAGGGGGGGGGGGGATTTCCGCTAATATTTCCCCGCTACCAAAGGATGGGGAAAATGACTGCATTAAAAATGCATAAGATTTTGCCAGAGTAAAACTCAGCAATGCATTTTATCCATGAAGAAATGCAACTTGTAATCAACCCTATTTTAATTGTCAGGATATTTAAATGTATTACAATAGTAGGTTTCTAAACTAGTTCAGGCAACATTCATTAAATACATTTCTTTTCAAATCTTGTTTGACAAAGCAATAATTGTTAGATTTAAAAAATATAGAATATTTGCAGTTCAAGATTAATTTCTGTACTGTAGTTTGTAACTAAATATACAATTTAAAAATATAATTGGTTTTGAAAAATAAATTTTTCCTTTTCGTGTTTGTTTTGTATTGAATTTAATATCCACAATTAATATATAAATTATGTTTGATTACGTGGATGGTGCAATTCCCAGTAATTAAACAAGAAAGATGGTGCATCTATAATTTTAATTTAACATTCATAAACTAAGAAATATATGTATGAAATCTTTATCAAATCAATGGAATTTTTTACACGAATTTTAAAGCAAACACCAAATGTATTTACATTTAAAAATATTAGTTGAAAAAAAATGTTTTTAAATCTGGAATTAATTTTATTTTAAATTTGATGGTCAAATTAAAAAAGGCAAGAAGGTTTCTGTATTACTTTACAGTGAGAGTAAACCTTTTTTCTTCAAAAATGCCAAATCCTTCTTCACCATCAAAAATTATACAGTTGCAAATTTTTCATTTTTTTCAAAACCTATTTTGATATATGTATCAAAAGATGCGTGTCGGTCCTTAAACCCTTGAATACCATATGTATTATTACCTTTTCGATACTTAAAAAATCTTTTGGTAAAAATTTTTTTTTTATAAACATATCTTTCTAAACCGGTTTTATTGTTTTCAGGGATTTTTACGATTTCAATGCTTAACGTTTCTGAATCCAGTGTTAAAGAAATTAAGACGAATATATGTTGAAACCCATCTTGATTTTTTTGACGTATTTTTTCTCTTGCTTACATTAGTGTATATATATCTACACAAAAAAATCAAAATATGAAAAATGTTTAATTTGTATCGAAGAAAACTGTAGAACTGGTGCAAGCGGAATTTAAGCATTTTCCTTTTTCATCAAAAAGTTCACAATAGTGTAACCCTTATTTACAGGTATGAATGAGTCCTTGTATATGGTGACAGGGAATAATACACATATTATGAAGACGACTTTTTATTTAAGCTTAAATTGTTAAATCGGAAGTCGTCTTCATTATATTGATATAATCAAATGCGTATTGCGTAGTATACGCAAAACAAACTACGCAGAAGTTCCAGATATCCAAGAATTTAAAACCAGTCTTAGCCTGATTACATTGAGGTCAGTTAGTGAGATGTTATAGTTGGTAACCGCCAAAAAAGTCCTTGGAAAGTTTCCGGAAAAAAGTCCTGTGGAAAAAAGTCCTTTTATTAAAAAGTCCCAGGCATCCAAAACACAGGACTTTATTTCCAGCGACATTTTTTCCAAGGACTTGAGAAAGTTCGGACTTTTTTTCCAAAGTTTTTATTTCCAGGTTTTTTTTCCAGAAACTTTTTTCCCTTGACTTTCTTACATAGATTCAGTTAGTGAGACGTTATAGTTGAATTAGAAAGGGATGGTTCTGATTTATTTTGGATATATTGATATAGTTCAACCAATACTAAGATCCAAACAGACATTATCTGCTACTTTCTTCAATAACACCAGAATTGAAAATAGCATGCAGTTTTTAAATGGGCAATAATTTGTAATTGATTTTACATGATTGTCGAAAAAAAAATCGCAAATTCTTTATGTTTCAGAAACCCATGTGTCGGTTCAGGAAGCTAGAGAGGGAGAAGATGGTAATTTCCTTAAGTACGAGGATAACACATGGGTATAATTGATCTTGTGGCAACACCCGGCCCCTAGCCTGTCCTAGCCGCGGTGCTCGGCCCCCATAGCCTGTCCTAGCCACGCTAGGCCCCCTAGCCTGTCCTTGCCGCAGCGCTCGGCCCAGAAATTGTTTAAACCAAACCTAACCTAAAATAATAAAAAAAATAAATAATAATATTTTGGCTGAAAAATGAAAAATAAGTGGCCATGTACTAAATTGATAGGAGGGGGGGAAGGGTCTTTGTTTTTTTATTTTTGTTCTGCTGCCACTTTTTTATTTTAGAAGTCTCCTTTTATAATTAATGCTGCGTTATCATTAGTGAATTTTATTTCCCGAGTATATAATATGTATAACTAGTCTGGGAACCCATCGCTGCCAAGTTTACTAAAAGTTACTCCCGCACTTTAACAATTTTACCGGGAAACTAGATTTTTGCTATCAATGTCGACACACTCAACTTAGAATCTCAAAACCAAGCTAAGAACATTCCACGTGTGTCACCCGCCTCAATCAAAATTAAAGGCAAATCGGTCCGGAGGTTTCTCAGTTTTGATCGGACAAACAAACAGACAGACAAACAAACACCCAAACACAGATAACATTTGCTTGCTCAATGTGCATTCTTAGTGTGCGTCCTATTTGTTAGCTATATAAACATTCATTAATCAATTTATATCTGCCATTTTGTTATATATACATTCATTCATCAATTTATATCTGCAATTTTGTTATATAAACATTCATTAATCAATTTATATCCGACATTTTGTTATATAAACATTCATTAATCAATTTATATCCGCCATTTTGTTATATAAACATTCATTAATCAATTTATATCTGCCATTTTGTTATATATACATTAATTAATCAATTTATATCTGCAATTTTGTTAAATATACATTCATTAATCAATTTATATCAGCCATTTTATTATATATACATTCATTAATCAATTTATATCCGCCATTTTGTTATATATACATTAATTAATCAATTTATATCTGCAATTTTGTTAAATATACATTCATTAATCAATTTATATCAGCCATTTTATTATATATACATTAATTAATCAATTTATATCAGCCATTTTGCCTTTCTTCAAATCAGTTTCTTATTTTTAAATGATATTTTTCTTTTTGAAGTGTTCAGATATCTGAGTATATTTTTTGTAATTAAACTTGACAACAATAAGAAATTTGGCAATTTATTTTCTAAATTAAAGATTCTTGTTCAGTTCTTATAAATCTTTTGATTCAGCTAAAAAAAGAATAACAGTAAAATTCTCTTTAAAGAATTTCCTGATTAAATTTTTATCCATGAGCTGATTGATATTTTTGTAGAAACTTATTTTATTTATAAAAGTGATTTTTCAAAGCCTCAACTTTTGTATAGATAATCCCTTCATCAATCCGTTTATCTCACCCCTCAAGGGTTTATCCCAATCCAGATTGGGATATTTTTGTCTAATATAGCTTGGGGGNCTTAACCATCTGAGACGAGCGTTACGAGTCAAAACTAGGACAGGCTAGGCGCGCTCCTTGGGGTCCAACACTATGGATGTAGTAATCACCTACTCCGTAACAATTTCTCAAGACGTATCTCCAGGTACAGTCCGTCTGATATAAAACTCAAACAGGACTTGTCCACACGGCTACAATCCTGTGACAAATCAACGCCATTACACAGGGCGCAATTTTGTTAGCTATCAATGTCAAAACAAACACTGGAAATCAATTGATCAATGTCTTGAAAGGTTTAAATGAAAGGAAAGAAACAGATTTTTGATAACTTACATTTTATTTCTTCACTTTAGGTCGTAGGATAGATATACAGACAAACTCTCAACCAGGATTCGATCAACAGAACCACATGGCTACAATCCTGTGACTAATCAACACCACTATACAAGGCGTGATCTTGATAGCTATCGATGTCAATACAGACACTAGCAATCAAATAGATCAATACCAATACTCAAGGCACGATCTCCGCTCGTGTGTTTCAATGAGAACTTATATTACTTCTAATACCGTAATCAAAGCAGAGTCTCAATCAACTGAGGTTTATTTGTAGTTCACACACTGTTAGAAATGCCATTTTGTAAATTTTCAATGTCATCATATTTCAGGCCAATATAACCAGTATATAGAAGACATTCATTGATATATCGTTTGAAATTTGATGTTTTCTGGTCAGAATGATTTTACTTGAATTAGCCTAAACACTAGTTGATATAAGTAAAATTAGAATCACATCAAATTTTTAAATGAGAATTGAGAGAAAGCAATGTCAGTATTATTCAAGATACTTTAAATACATACATTATTGATCTCTGTTAGAATTTACTTGAAGAGAGTAAAATTTTAATTGAAGTAAGCAGAATTCTGGTTAATGCAGAATCCAAGTAGTATTCTGATTGAATTGAGTGCCGGTACGTGTTTAGACGCCGGATCACTGTAATTGACGTAAGCAGGATTATGCTTGCTTCGATTTCTGATGATTGAAGTAAGTAGAATTCAAGTGAATGTAATTAGAATTTAGCGTACAGGCCGTAAATTGATATCAAGCAGAATTATCGTTGATATATTACAACGGATCTTCATGGCTTGGTGCGTGAACTAAATACTGTTGATTGTAAGCGGGTTTTTCTAACAGTGTATTAGAATTGGGTTATTAACAGCGTAATTACAAGTTGTTATATCTATAACGTAGTCAACAATCACAATATGGGTATGACGGAGTTATATATATTTATAAGTATATATATCTTCGTACATGGAATGGGTTAATCGCAATACAGGATTTGCGTAATTTCTAAATGAACAAGATACAACGTAAATTACAATAGGCCTCAATTTTTGTCTGTGATTGCATAATTGAAGAGAAAAGTGAGAAAGGGGAGCCGGAGGTCAGCTTAATTTTTTTTCTTCAAAAATTACAAGGATTTTACAAATTTGAATTGCTTTATGGGACATTGGTAAAAAATAAACTGAAAAGGAATTGAGTCTGTGTAACAAAATCAAATATTTAAACCCCAATATCTTTAGAACCCGTTGTTGTAAACCTTTGATATTTCAAATTCTGATTATTTGATTTAACAGAATTCATAGTTTGAAATATCTAAGGTCTACAACATTTTGTTCCAAAGATATTGTGATAAGAAAATCAGGGTTTGTTGCAAAGACTCAATTCCTTTAGTTTTAGTTCATTCTCAATTTGTAAGATAAACAGCAGTATTATTGAAAAACAGCAAAGTTTGTTTTTATAATTAGATTTCAATCAAACATTTAAATTAGTTTCCGAGAACCGTTAGACAAACTTAGAACCCGTTGTCCTTGGAATGGTTTGTAGCTTGAGCTGGATTTTGATACAGAAATAGTACAATAGTAAAGGGAAATATTTAAGCAAGAGGGTTTTTTTGCTTGTGGGCGGAGCGGAGGGGGGAATTATCATACGTTCTTTAAAAAAAATCATTAAATTGCAGGTTTTTTTGTATATTCCTTAAAGTTCTTTAATTTAGCAAAAAATTAACAGAACAACCATAGAAATAGAAAAATATAATAAGAAAATTAAAAGATACTCACTGCTTAGCCAAAACGGAATAAGTGGGTCTAAGTAGCGATTTAGTTTGGAAGAAGAGTAGGAATTCATACTGCCAATGTAAAAGACCATTAAAAAACTTTTTGAATGGGTAAAATTAGATAATTTGAATCACTTAAGAGCAACTGTTTTTGAGAGTTTTGTCAAGAAAAACAGGGGCGAAATTATCTTCCCCCCGAAGATAGCTAGGGTTAATTACATGGTGAAAGTTAAAAATGGACGTAACTTCCCTTGTACAATAATATAACCGTGAACAACTCCAACTACTTGATAGTATTGCATCTTGCATTCAATGCACTTTAATGCATCTATTCCTAGAGGCAAACTTTATGCGAATATTGCAACATTTAAAATTTAAATGTGTATTTAAAGTTAAATAGTTTCCAATACTATTTTAAACTATAAATTCATGAGAAACAAGGAAAATATATAATTATGAAAAAAAAATGTTTTCAAGCTTTTTCGTCGGTTTATTTTACTTTACAGTGTTTCAAGCATGTATTTTAGAATGACAAGAAAGAAGGGGGTCGTCAATGAAGATTTTTCTCTAAAATGCCATTTTCACCTCCAAAAGTAAGACTTAATATTTGAAAATGTGACCGGTCTCTTTACCAAAGATTTTCAAAAACAATTTCAAAAAATTATTCTAACTATTTTTTCTATAAAAATCCGCAATTCTATTATTTTTCAATTGACTTATTGAAAAATCTATTGAAAAGATACCGAAAACCTTAACTTGATTGTATGCCTACCTGTAAAGATAAAAACAGCTTTTGATCAAAATTTGTCAGCGACAAACCCCAACCCTCCTTTACAGGCAATGTACATGTAACAAATGCCTTACTCCAATAAGTTCTCTTTTAAGTCTGTACCAATCCAGGTGTAACCTTCTGTATTCTCAAGTATCTATCGATCGAGATACAACATCTGTATTCGTCAGTATCTATCGATCGAGATACAACATCTGTATTCGTCAGTATCTATCAATAGAGATAAAACCTCTGTATTCATCAGTATCTATCAATCGAGATACAACCTCTGTATTCGTCAGTATCTATCAATCAAGATACAACATCTGTATTCGTCAGTATCTGTCATCAGAGATACAACCTCTGTATTCGTCAGTATCTGTCAATCGAGATACAACCTCTGCATTCCTCATTATCTATCATCAGAGATACAACCTCTGTATTCGTCAGTATCTGTCAATCGAGATACAACCTCTGTATTCGTCAGTATCTATCAATAGAGAAACAACCTCTGTATTCGTCAGTATCTATCAATCGAAATACAACATCTGTATTCGTCAGTATCTATCAATAGAGATACAACCTCTGTATTCGTCAGTATCTATCAATCGAGATACAACCTTTGCATTCGTCAGTATCTATCATCAGAGATACAACCTTTGTATTCGTCAGTATCTATCAATAGAGATACAACATCTGTATTCGTCAGTATCTATCAATCGAGATACAACCTTTGCATTCGTCAGTGTCTATCAATCGAGATACAATATCTGTATTCGTCAGTATCTATCAATCAAGATACAACATCTGTATTCATCAGTATCTTTCAATCGAGATACAACATCTGTATTCGTCAGTATCTATCAATCAAGATACAACATCTGTATTCGTCAGTATCTATCAATCGACATACAACCACTTTAATCATCAGTATCTATCAATCGAGATACAACCTCTGTATTCGTCAGTATCTATCAATCGAGATACCTCTGTATTCATCAGTATCTATCAATCGAGATACAACCTCTGTATTCGTCAGTATCTATCAATAGAGATACAACCTCTGTATTCGTCAGTATCTATCAATCGAGATACAACCTTTGCATTCGTCAGTATCTATCATTAGAGATACAACCTTTGTATTCGTCAGTATCTAGCAATCGAGATACAACCTCTGCATTCCTCAGTATCTATCATCAGAGATACAACCTCTGTATTCTTCAGTATCTAGCAATCGAGATACAACCTTTGCATTCGTCAGTAAATATCATCAGAGATACAACCTCTGTATTCGTCAGTATCTAGCAATCGAGATACAACCTCTGCATTCCTCAGTATGTATCGTACAGATACGACTCGGTCTAGTACTCAATGTTTTACAATAATACTTAGTCTGTATCAATTCAGATACAACACTCTCTGTATTCTCGGCATTATCGTTCAGACACTCTCTGTATTCTCAGTATGTATTGTTCAGGTAATCTCTGTATTCTCAGTATGTATCCTACAGATACAACTCGCTCTAGAACTCAACGTTCTACAATAATACTTCAGTCTGTATCAATTCAGATACAACACTCTATGTATTCTTCAATGTGTATCGTACAGATACACCTCGCTCTAGAACTCAATGTTCTACAATAATACTTCAGTCTGTATCAATCCAGATACGACACTCTATGTATTCTTCAATGTGTATTCTACAGATACACCTCACTCTAGAACTCAATGTTCTACAATAATACTTTAGTCTGTATCAATCCAGATATGACACTCTATGTATTCTTCAATGTGTATTCTACAGATACAACTCGCTCTAGAACTCAATGTTCTACAATAATACTTCAGTCTGTATCAATCCAGATACAACAGTCTATGTATTCCTCAATGTGTATCGTACAGATACAACTCGCTCTAGAACTCGCCTATCCGATCAATAATACTTTAGTCAGTATTAATCCAGATACAGCACTCTATGTATTCTCATGAGTATGTATCGTTCAGATACTCTCTTTATGCTCAGTATGAATTATCATATAAGGAATATTGTTTTTGTACATATCTTATTGAATGTAATTATATTTAAATGTTGAAAATTTACTCTCATTATTGCACGACTTTATTTTATTTGCACTACAATATAAAAGTTGATGTTCTTGGTTAACCACAACAAATCTTTTTTCAAAGACAACTGTACAAATTTACTAAGTTTTAGCAGCTGTAAACTTTATCAGAGATCGGAACTGTAGTGTGGATATTGTTTTTCGATCTCGATATACGATATGGGCACTTTTAAATTTGAGGATCAATGCTTCATTCCTCAATTGAAGTCTTGATTCTGAAATTCAAAACAAACAAAAGTTCTGACTTTTAAAACAGTTTTAAAAGAACTTTAAGTTAAGGTTTAGTCTCTTTATATGCTTTGTAAAAAAAAATAAAAATAAAAATTGTTATTTTGAACTGCCCATTATTAAACAGATAACAATCAAAGACAATATTTTGCCTCCCAAAGATGCTTTTACTGCACAAGATAAAAATCCAAGTATGGGATTCCTATATTTCTGGACAGAATGACCCATTTCTCTGTAGGTAATAAAAAAGGGTGTTAAATTTTAGGATCGGGAGGCACATGCTCTAGAATTCTCTAGTTGTAAATGATTTGCAAAATGATAGGCCAGGTTTGCAAGCATACTGCATATTGTTAAAATTTGCAATCTTGTTTCCAGAAAGTCTACTCTGCCATTTTACTTATTCAAATTTTCTTTCAAGATAAATTATTTTCTAGGTGTGCATTAAAATGATGTAATAGTATTGTAACCCAACGGGCCCTCATAATCTAGAATTATCTGACTGTGTGACCTGGTCTCAGACTGTTTTCAGGCCTCCCAAACCAGATTAATAGATATAGAATCCAGTTTAAAGGATTTATGCCCCAAGCCAAATTTTCAGATCTCGAATAAGGGAAACAACTTCCAGAAGTTTCAGTAAACCCCAAGCTCTCGATAAAATAAGACATCACACTCTTTTATATCCAATCATCAAGCTATTTTCAATATGAAGCAGAAGATTATGGAAATCCCACCTTTTGTAATCCCCACAACCAACATGAACCTCAACAAGCTGGAAATGAAAAGAACTAACTGGAATGCTAAGGCCTCCATTGTTGCAAAGAATACATTTAATCCTATCCGTAATATCCTAGAAACTATTGACATCACTCCCAACCCTCAAAAGAAGATGATTTCTCTCTCTATTGGTGACCCTACAGTTTTTGGAAATCTAAAGCCTGCAAAAGAAGTTGTTGAGGCTGTGACAGCCTCTTTACTTGCTGGCGTTAACAATGGGTACGGCCCCAGCACCGGGTTTTTGCCTGCTAGAGAGGCAGTTGCAAAGCATGTCAGTGTACCCGGAGGAGAGGTTACTGCTGAAGATGTTATTCTCTGCTCCGGATGTTCATGCGCCTTGGACATAGCAATTTCTACTCTTGCAGAAGATGGACAGAACATTTTAGTTCCAAGACCTGGATTTCCTTTGTATACAACTCTTTCTGCTGGATTAGGTGAGTAATATTATCCTTTAAATGTTATTTGGATAATTGATTCATCCTTCTATCAATAAAGCTTTTCTTTTCTCTAGGTATTGAGACCCGTGAATACAATCTCCTCCCCGAGAATGACTGGGAAGTTGATCTTCTTCACATGGAGTCCTTAATTGACGAAAACACTGCAGCTATCATCGTAAACTCACCATCCAACCCATGTGGCAGTGTGTTTACTCCTGCCCACTTGAAGCAAATTCTAGCCGTTGCTGAGATGTACAAGGTCCCAATCATTGCTGATGAGATCTACGACAACTTTGTTTTTCCTGGCCAGGTATGTTTAAAAATATATTTAAAAAATGAGTATTAATAATCTTATTTTACTTTTTTAGACTTATGTCCCTATTGCTTCCTTGACTACCACTGTACCTGTTTTGTCCTGCGGTGGACTCACAAAAAGATTTCTAGTTCCAGGTTGGAGAATGGGTTGGATTGTTATTTATGACAAACAGAATATATTTGCCCAGGAAATAAGAAAGGGTCTTCTTTGTATGAGCCAGAGAATCATTGGATCTAACACTTTGATCCAGGGTGCACTGCCAACCATTCTTCAGAATACTCCAAAAAGTTTCTTCGAGGAGACTATACATATTATCAAGTCCAACGCTGATTTGGCATACAAGAAGCTGAAGGAAGTCCCTGGTCTTATGCCTGTCATGCCCCAGGTATAAAAGATACTTTTAGAACTTTACATTCAAACAAAAACATAAGAATTTAACAATTTTTTTCTTCAGGGAGCTATGTATATGATGGTCAAAGTTGACATGTCAAGATTTCCTATGTTCCGGTCTGATCTTGACTTTGTTGAACGCTTGGTAAGCGAGCAGAGTGTATTCTGTCTCCCTGGCAAATGCTTCAACTATCCCAACTATTTCCGAATAGTTCTCACCGTACCCCAGGTACTCCTCTCTGAAGCTTGTGATAGAATGCTTGAGTACTGCAGCCAGCACTTGGTGTGTCCACCTCCTTCACGTCTTGTTGGACTTCTCGTTGAGAACAGATCACTGTATGCTACATATGGGAAGAAGTACGGAATGTTCCTGGATAACCCGCACTCAAGCAACTGGCATTCAACTTGGCAACTGGCTGTTACTATGGCAGATGCAATGAGAAATGAAAATAATCGAAAGAATTCAAATGCAGGGTGAGTTTTCTTAAATATTAACAAAGAAAAGCATGTTTGATTCACAATGGTGCTCTTTAATTCTCTATTTGAGTAAGTAATAAGGAAGGTATAGTCATTTTTCTAAAAAAAGTGTTTATTTTTGCATATTAATTTCCTAAAAAGAAAAAAGTCACTTTTACTGAGAACTCCCAATTGAAAACAAAAATACATCTCATTTTAAAAGATTTTAAGGGTCCTTGGTAAATCAAGCATTCCAGATTTAAGGGTCCTTGGTGAATCAAGCATGCCAGATTTAAGGGTCCTTGGTAAATCAAGCATGCCCGATTTAAGGGTCCTTGGTAAATCAACCATGCCCGATTTAAGGGTCCTTGGTAAATCAAGCATGCCAGATTTAAGGGTCCTTGGTGAATCAAGCATGCCAGATTTAAGGTTCCTTGGTGAATCAAGCATGCCAGATTTAAGGTTAATTCAAATTACGACTACAGTCCCCTTAATCAATCAATGTATTTAGGGAGTTAAGAAAGCTATCTTCAACAAGAAACACGTGATACAATACGATGAAGACATATTTTCATACCAAACTCTGAATTGGTATTTGTTTGATGTACCTTATAATTATCTACCTAAATGCTAAAGAATTGAAAACCAGTCTCCAGGCCTCTCTTTAAGGTTTAAAGTACGGACTTAGTTACATGGTTACACAAAGATAATAATCAAAATAAACCTGTTTATCAACAATTTCTAAACAAAACTAAAATCTAAATTAAGAGAGAAAAAAATTCTTTTCTTCAAAAAATATCGGTCTTTTCTTCCCAACAAATGCTCTTGACCCATTTGTTTGCCATTTTTGTCAAAAGAAAAAAAATGGATAAAATTTTACAACTTGCAAATTTTTATATATTTCTGCGGCTCTTTCCATATCAGTAAAATTAAATCTTAATTTGAAACTTTTGAATGTACGAAATTAGTCTGACTACATCTTTGTAAAGAGTTTAACCGATCTTTCCTTAATAAAACATTGTTAAGTTGACCAATGAGACCAAGTTGATCATTTTTGCTTATTCTATTCATTTTAACATTTTTCAGCTCTTATATATACGTGTATTGATATAAAGGGTGTCCCACGAAACATGACAGTTGGTCAATAGTTTAAATATTGTATTCCATATTGTATTAACTTCTTTGATACCAAACAGAATGATAAAAAGTATCACATGGTAGTAAAATTGACTTCAAAGTAAAATATGTTTGAGTAACAAATTTTTGTTAAGTGAAATAAACTTCAAAAAGTCTTTTATATTTATGGAAGACGACAATTAAAGCTATTCACCAACTGACATGTTTCGTGGGACACCCTGTACCTTATATTGTGATTATATTTACCATGACACAGGAATTGAGTCTTTGCTATGATTTGTTTAGCCCTTTATTGCAAACCTTGGATATTCTAAACTTTGAATTCTGGATGCAAAGATATACGGAGTAGTAAATTCTTTTTTATTATATTTCTAAATATGTAAATATGTAATGATAATCTTAATAGTTTTATAAATAAAAAATTTTTGAATTTAATGATTTTATGAACACTAAAAAACATGACAAAAACATTCAAACAAAATTGAGTCTTTGTCACAAATTCAGATTTTATAATCCCTATATCTTGGCAACCCAATGTCATTCAAAGATATAGGGATTAGAAAATTTGAATTTGTGGCAAAGATTTAAAATGAAATAAATATAAAGAAACGAAAACTTTAGTTATTGTGTTGCCAGTACAATTCTAGTATACCTAATAACACCTCCATATGGTGTATAGTAAGCATGATTTATTAAAAATATTTTTTAAATATTTAAATATCTTTAATGCATTTAATCATAATATCATAACTTACAACTTTCATTAGTAAAATAATTATTTTAATAAAAAAGGATTGGGAGGGAAGAGGGGGGAGGTCATCTCATTCTAACATTGAAAAGCAAAAAGCACACTCGATCATCTTAGACAAATGCAATTGTTAAAGTGCAAAAATTGTAAAGTAAAAATTTTCATAAACAAATATTTCTTAGATTTTGACAAAGTGATGCATATGTTTATTTACCAGCGTTAAGAATTTTTACGTATGTAAATTTTAAACCCGTGTTATAGCTCAATTTTTTTAGCTTTGGATGTTTTAGATTTTTTGAATGAGTAAAAAAGAGTATTTCCAATGAAATGAATGAAACAAAAAATAAAAGATTTTCTAATATTTTGTGACATGGGTATCTGGACAGGGCTATGATTGATGAATTATATCAATGATTTATTTGTTAAATGTAGCGGAAACTCTGATAAAGAAAATATACACAAACGTCTAGAGGAAGGAGTAATATAACTAAGAAGAAAGGATAAAGTTTGTTTATGCCGTGAGAAAAGTCGCATCAGTTTTTAAGACATCGAGTCTTGGCTTTTGAGATTACTTCAAGACTATTTCAAGTTTTATAGCCCTAGACATTTTAAAAACTATACAGCACTATGCAGTTCTTGGCATCTCAGTAGCTCTTGAATAAAAGGGGTTTTAATGTTACGTGTAATATGAGGTGTTTTAGGATTCTTTCAAAATTTTAGGTGATAATATCAAAGTGATATTGGATATTAGGTGACATTTTTGTGGGGCAGGGTGGCTAGTGTGTGACACCAGTTCTCATTAGATCACTTAAGTAAAGCACACTTGTCCTCAGTCAGTAACTGGATTGGTGTCCAGACTGGTGTTCACGGGTTCGATTCCCGTACTCCACACAAACCTGTGGTTTCAAAAACATCTGTAGCAGACATCTAGTTAAGCAATTAGACCACCTGACGGATGTAGGAGGACAGAGGGGCGGCTGTCAACATCTCTCGCAGCGAAAGGGTGTGTGCTTTCTACTCAACAAGAAAAAAGCTCATAGTGGATTGATCCAAGTGAATGATGATGGATGAATGTGCTGCCAGATTACAACCCCTGGTAGATAACAAAAACCCATACAACACCAAATTTTCAGAAAAAAATCAGAGATTTGATCGCAACAAACCGATCACGTCCTGGGGACAAAAAATCTCTTTAAAAAAAAAGATATTGGATGGTGAACCATAGAATGTTCTCCGTTAGTTAGATATTTCAAACACAACAATAGAATTTTGTTTTTAATAATTAATAATTTAATATGTCTATTATATTGTTCTGAATATAAAAATATTTCTTGCTCAAGGAATCACATCCTTAATCCATAGCAATCCCTTGAAGTATAGAATGTATATTGAAGAAGGTGTGGAAAAAGAGAATGGTTTAATTTCTATCTTCTGTCTCTGAGATAACTCTGAGATAAAAGCAGGTGGATGGAAACATTATTTAGTTTAAAGATACAGATGTATTCTAGGGGTGGGGGGGCTATGCTTTGTGAAAAAGCTTCATACCCCCCCCCCCTCCCCTCTCCCTTAGAACTAATTCTTAAAATTCAGAAAACCAACAATTCCAATAATTTCACGTTAAACAAAAACAAACCAAAAACAAACCAAAAATAAACCAAAAACAAACTAAAAACAAACTAAAAACAAACCAAAAACAATCCAAAAACAATCCAAAAACAAACCAAAAACAAACCAAAAACAAACCAAAAACAAACTAAAAACAAACCAAAAACAAACCAAAAACAAACCAAAAACAAACTAAAAACAAACCAAAAACAAACCAAAAGCAAACTAAAAGCAAACAAAAAACAAAACAAAAACTAACCAAAAACAAATTTAATACACGTCACTAAATTGGCTCAGTTGTGATAAATATGGGTATTTTGTATTACCAAATAACAATCCATTTCAAAATGAATTTTAGATAAAAATGGTCAATTCTGTATGATTATAAAACATTTAAAGAGTAGACATCTGTAAATCATTGTTTTTACAATTCATCCAAACCTAAACTAGAAAAAAAAACTTTTATAACATTGCATGAAAAACACATATAATAAAATAATTAAATGCGTGTTAGTCTAGTCTAGTCTAGTCTAACAGAGTTTAGTGCTTTTAACGAATTTTGGAATTTTGTGTTGGTTACTCATAATTCTGATTGCTTAGTCTCGATATCCATTGTGGGCACTTTTAATTTAAAGATCAATGATAATCATTTCAGGTTACAAACTTACGATTACCATGCAGGATATCAGATAAAGATTAAATTAATCTGCAGATTAAAAAATATTACTTAACATTTTTTCAAATTGACACACTTTTATTGAAAATCAGATTTTTACATTAAATGGTTAAATTTAACAAACAATTAACATGAATATATTGATTGCCAACATTAATGAGTTTCCCCCCCTGTAATCACTTATATTTTAATAATAATAAAATAAATAGAAATTACAAAAAAGGTAATGACTCAAGAGACACCATTTCCTTTTATAGAATATTGAATTAAGTTTATTCCACAGTATTTTAACGGTTGTTTACTAGTTCCAACAAGGTTTTACTTTAGATCACAATTTGAAAACAATTCGACATCAATTATTCATTACAGACCAGAACGTGATTAAATTTAAATTTAAGATATCGAACGCCTCTTCAGCCATAGCCCTAAATAAGTCCTTGATGATTCAAATGTGACGTCAAATCTCTTTGCTTCAATATATTTATATTTTTCATCCCTAATCAAATCTATTTTTGTATTTTCTGGTGAATACCAAATTATTCTTTTTTTAATTTGGTATAAATCAGCAATAAGTTTTAATATAAACTATGACGCGTGTTTATAAATACATTTTTTTAATCATCTTTAAAAGGGTTTACAAACTTTGAGCTGATAGGTTACTGTAAACTCCAGTTCATTTGAAGACTAAACTGCCTGAGAGTACAGTGTTAACCAGAAAAAAATGGAATAGGAAGACGACATTATAGAAATATAGAAAGCAAATAGTTTTACTTTACTTTACGTTTTTTCTAGTGAAGTGGGTCTGTTTACGCTACACATTTGCTGTGTCTCAATCAATTATTGGACTTTTTAAAATAGTAAATTGATTATAAAAGTCGTCTTCCTATTTCAGTGTTCACTGTATTAGGGCAAGTTGTACAATATTACAATCTATATATACGTTGCTTGTCTGTTTGTCTGTATCCAATAAACCTCAAAACTGATCAGGCTCAGATTGTATGTAGTACCTCACATGACCCCAGGGAAGGTTTATAAATAATCAAATTTCAAAATTTGCCTCCAACAAAATTAGATTTCAAATAAATTTTCAAAATCCACGAAATTTTTTAATGAAAGACGCAAACCTTTTTTGTTTTTATTTTACAATGTATACAAAAAAGAAAATGTTCACAATTGAAATATAAGGTGGGCGCGAAGCGCTCTAAATGCCTAGTTTATTATACTTTGCTCACTGTGATTTAAAGGTCTCGATCTTTCAATAAAAAGAGAATTTTGCCGATTACTTCTTTAATCTTTAAACCCAAAGCTATAAACAATTGCTCGTAGTGCTAAAATGAACATGCAAAGGGCTACAGAAAAGCAAAAATGATTTAGAGCGGTAAAATCAAAGCCCAAGACATTGCGACACTTCAAAGTCGACCCTGTCTAAAAAATTGATGAGACTTTTTATGAGCAGGCTGAATCTATGTGTGCTAGTCTAACCGATAAACGTCAGACACCTGAACCGAGCGGGCTCAAATTTGTGTGGGGACCTCACATTTTTGTAAAATTTAGAAAATCCACGAAAACATTTTTAGTATTACATACATGTCGATAACAGGTAAAAAGAGACAGTGCACAACATGAATCTTCTCCTTCGATAGTGAGATTATTGAACGGTTTAAGTATACAAAGATTATGTTGTTCTGATCATTTTAGGGGATAAAACGTGACATAAGATGCAGTAAAATTCAACAAATTTCTACATCGATCCAAGCCTGATAATGTCGAAATATAAAACGACTAAGAATAACAAAACCAAAGATATTTCAATGAAAGAGGACATTTTGAACAAATAATTAGCTTTCATGTATATTTTATAGGATGCTTCGTGTCTTCTTTCCTCTTAATAATACTAGATTTGAAATCTGAAAGTCTCCATTTTTATTCGTTCTCAAGTTTGCGTAGATTTGTCTGTTAAAAATGGTACATTTTCAAAAATATTAAATTTAGACGTTTTTTCTGCAAACACACAAACACATAACAGACACCCATACAAGAAAAGTATATATAGATAGTAAAGGGTAAACTAAAACAATTGTGTAGATAATTGTGCAATTAATAATAAAATGTCTAAAAGTGTATTCAAGCAATTCTCCTATCTTCCAAAAAACTTTAATTGGAACACATGGAAAATGTAATCAATGCAAAAAAAACTGTGAAAATTTTATTTTTAATAGTTTCAGACTTTGATCACATTGTTGTATTAAAAGTTACTTTTTTGATTTCCTCGTGATATTTTTTTAACATTTTGCTCAAGAAATTTACTCGATATGTCGTCTTCTTCTTCCGCGATAATATTGTATAAATACAGGGTGTCCCAGGAAACATGACAGTATGCAGGACGACTTGAATGTCGTCTTGATTTTTGATATAATTTGCTGCGTTTATTTGTCAACTTATTTTATATGTTTCCAAATCCGATGCATGACATCGCGTATTTACAACTATACTGTCCTCCCCAAAACTTCCAAAGTTCTAGTTGTGAATATTATTTCCTAAATCTTGAAGTTAAAGACGACATTTTTGTTGATCTGATATTTTATGGTATTATACAGTTAAACCCATGATATGAAGCTCTTTAAAACTCTTTCCGCATATTCAGGGTTATTTATATAGTTTTAAAATTACTGAGATTTAGGTATAATAGTAAATAACCCATTGAAAAAGACGACATTTAAATTTTATTTTCGATGTCTCAGAAGTACGAAGTCCACAGTTTTATGTTAATGTTTATATTTTGATTATTTTCAGATCTCCTGGGCTAACCACAACGGACGAGACTGTAAAGACGACATGAAACTCTTGAAATATGACGAATCCAGGATTAGATTAAGTCATCTGCCTGAATATAGTCTTCTAATGGCTTATTTAATGGTTTGGAGGGGAAAAAAAGAAACAAGTTTACAGTTGCAGGGAATCATGAATATAAAGGAACAGACAGCATAAAATCTTTACAATTGTCTCTGTAGTCTCATTCTTTGTGGGTAACCCTGTACAAAAAAAAATTCATATTATGTCATGATATGCATAAAGGTGCATATATATTATATATATATCTATCACATTGTATTATCTATATTTATATCTATCACATTGATATGCAGAAAATATTAAAGTCATTATTTACGAATATCAAGTAGATACATCAAGATTATTAATAAAAAACTTTTTTTCTTTGGTTGATTTTTTTCATTATTTTATCTAAAATCGTTACTTTTCAGCATTTTCATCTTTTTTTAATTTGGCTTTCTGTTTTTTCTGTAATCTTTTTTTGGCTCCTTTAGTCCCAACAACAGAAACAAGAACAAATTGAAATTTTTTACAAAAGTATCATATCTAGATTTAAAAGTATTTAACGTTGGCCCAGTTTTTATATCACAAGGTAAATAATTCAATTGAAAAACAACTTTTCGGCTAAAAATTGTTTACGAATATGAGTTCAACAGAAATTTCCACGAAGTTAAAGATGATTTTCTGACATTCTTTTAATTCTGTATGATGTATCTGCTGAACTTTTCCTGCCAGAAATGATGCAAATATGCCCAAAAAAAAATTTTAGCTCAAGAACTTTAAAATAAAAAATAAAAATAAATGTTAAAGGACTGTACGCTTTATTTCAAGTGACCCTACGTGCAAAAATGACAATGCCTTATTTTTAGAACGGTATTCTTGAAACCTTAATCTTATTCATCTGTGACCGAATTTAAAGAATTTGAGCTACGGTTTAAATTTAAGCCGCGGCTTAAATATGGTTGGTTTCAAATGTTTCAAGATTTAAGCCGGCGCTTAATTTAAACCGGGGTTTGACAGATTTAAACCGCGGCTTAAATTCTTTAAATTCCATCTCTGATCAATTTTAAAGGTTTATGTTTTCTGATAATTCCTTTATATTTTCCTGCAGTAGAAAGGCGCAAGTCACAATGAATAGCAACTAAATATTTTGAAATATTTCAATTTGGAATAATTTTTCTGTAAAATGTAAAAAAGAAGTACCGGGCTGGTTCGTTTTTTTTTACTTATTTGGTTCTTAGACTTTCAAACCGGCTTAACATAAAGAAGTTTTACAAGTTTTAAAATTATTTATATTAAACAATATGGTACAATTTTTTGCACTGTGTCGAAAATTTTTACCTTGAGAGAAAATATATTTTGCGAAAAAAAGCTATTTTTTTCCTTATATCACCTTTTACAGAAAAACTTTGAATATATTTTAGATAGATAGATAGATAGATAGATAGATAGATAGATAGATAGATAGATAGATAGATAGATAGATAGATAGATAGATAGATAGATAGATAGATAGATAGATAGATAGATAGATAGATAGATAGATAGATAGATAGATAGATAGATAGATAGATAGATAGATAGATAGATAGATAGATAGATAGATAGATAGATAGATAGATAGATAGATAGATAGATAGATAGATAGATAGATAGATAGATAGATAGATAGATAGATAGATAGATAGATAGATAGATAGATAGATAGATAGATAGATAGATAGATAGATAGATAGATAGATAGATAGATAGATAGATAGATAGATAGATAGATAGATAGATAGATAGATAGATAGATAGATAGATAGATAGATAGATAGATAGATAGATAGATAGATAGATAGATAGATAGATAGATAGATAGATAGATAGATAGATAGATAGATANCAGTCATTCAGGCAGTGTGCCTGAGGACTCAGGCAGTTAGTATTAAAGCCCGGTTTTAGGCCTAAAGGGAGGGCTTTGGGTATGTAAGAAAAGTCAGAAAATTTCAACAGCCTCAGATCAATACTTTTTGAGTTATGTAAAAAAAACTACAGGGGGGGGTCAAATTGACCCCCCCCCAGCGGGAATAGGGTTAATTTCTAAGAAAATTCTTTTTTATCTCGAAGTTGTATTTGTCATATTAATTTGTTCGATGTAAAATGTATATCTAATTAATGAAAATGAAAATTTGTGAAGTCTCCCTTTCAGAAGTTTGCTTTTAGTGATTCATCTTTCACAAATTTGAAAGATAAGAATTAAGTGAATTGAAGGGTAAAAATATATTCTAATAAATCATAAACTAAAATTTATGTTGTACTTTTAGCATGCAAGAAAAAAATGGTGTCATAAAATATAATTTTTTCAAACTCAGGAGTTCAAAGTCCAATTTGTGTATTGGTGCTGAAATGAACCCCTGCAGAGCTAGCTTATATAAACTGGCAGGCTGGTAGGTCTCCTTACAGTTCACTGTCATTCCTCCCCTGGACTACTCCCACGATGCCCGGGCACACTGTCTGGAAGTGGGTGGTCGTGCTTGATCAGATAAACCAACTTTACTGAGCTTACTTCGTTTCCGTCCCATCTTTCATGGTGGGACATACCTAAAATAGGGGCGTAACATCAAGCCCCAGGGGGTGGGGGTCAAACCAGCCCCGCAGTCACATTGTGCCAGGGGTGACCCAACCACCCTCATCTCTCCTCCTAGACAGGCTAGGGGCGTATATCATAGCCCCGGCAAGTTTTGGGAGGGGTGATCAATTTCTAGCTTCCCCTAGATGTTAACAGAATCTATCTACAGAGAAAAATAGCAGAAAATTGTTCATCTATTCATGAATATTTGTATTATCTATTTATTTATACATGTATGTCCACACATTTTCGAAGACCTGTGATTATTTAGTAATTTTTGTAATGTTTGTCATCTTTTATATATCTATGTCATTGCGTTGATAACACTGTGTGATATATTTGTAATTGATCATAATTTTAATTAATTATAGACCAAAACTCGTATGATTTCAAATAGAAGAATCTGAATGCCTTAACTCCAAAGTGATTAAATACCATTTATTCACTTTAGTCTCTATGGGCAACCAAACACTTTTATATTATTACTTAGACGCTGTATTTTAACCCCTTATGAGGTTCTGTAGAATTGTTATCAACCTGCTTATATCTATTTACATTTCGTCAAAGCGTTTTGAAAATCCTAGATCTTGCATTTAATTCCAATATTTACTTAAAGATTATAAAGAATTGTGCTTTGTATAAATTGCAGATTTAACAATTTGTCTGCGGAAACTATGTTTTCAAGATTTGTACCCTATATAAATATGCATAAATAATATTATAAATTGTTTTAATTTCTATTAAAATTTCGGTTTCTATTTATTTTCTTGAATATGTTAAATACATACATAGATAGTGAATAAGAAATAAGAATAAGAAAAAAGGGTAATAAATTTCCCTGTAGCGCTAGAATATTCGATACTGTTTGCAACAACATTCATTTTATCATTATTAATTACTTAATTTAAAAATTAACACTTATGTTTGGAAAATAGTTTAAAATCCACCAAATTTGCTAGAAAAACACTGGTCTTTTGCTTTGGATATTAAAACAAAAAGTATTGAATTTTCAGGCGCCCAGAAATTTTTAAAGTTTGAAAAAAATGTTTTGTTGGATTTAAAATTGGTAAACAGTCCTTTAAAGTTAAAAAACATGATTCACCAGACGGAACATTTTTTCTCCGGGTTCATGTTTGAACCTTTTGGACAATTCCAGTCCTTGGAGAACTCCTTCTGATTTCTGTAGGAACCATTCACGCGGTACCTTAATATATAAATTTTAATTTTGTTATCCTAACTTTTAGACCAAAACTGAAGATAGGAAGACGACATTACAGCAATACTAAGCAAATACTGGATCAATTTTTGAGTGAAATGGGTCTGTTTATGCTACACAGTTGCTGTGTTCATTGGAGATCAGTCATAACTTGAGTTTAAAACTTGACTTCCTATTCCTGAGTTTTATAGATCTCACTGTATATATATATTAATATATAGACAGAGAAGACAATATATGTATATCTCTATAGCCGGTCAAACGGATGAACCAAATGGGCTGATTTTTTTGAGGGAATCCTTGAGTACCCCGGGGGTTACGTAGGCTAAAAAAATTTACCATATTTTCTTTTTTTTTAAATTGGAAAATATTTTTCAAAACTCTAAAATTTTTTTCAAAAATCGAAATTTGTTTTTCTTTCAAAATTTCAAATTTTTTCACGGGCAACGCCGGGCACTTCAGCTAGTATGCTACTTTATAGAGGAAATATCTGCTATCCTATTTATTTTTAAAAAGCTTTCACTATTTCCATATATATTCTATCCGTGGTTAAAAAAAGATAATAAACTTAAATTAAAAATTTTTAGTATTAGTAAATACTTTATAATTTTATGTTTTTAGTTGGGCCATATCTTTTTATTAATGAAAGAATATAAGTCTATTCCTCTATTCTCGACTAATTTTTAAATAGATATAAAAATCTGACTTAGAATATGTCTATACAAAGCTGACATTTTTAGAATGGTGGATAATAATGCTATATCTTCTCTTGTAATTAATCTTCAGATTAATTAACCGATCGGGATTAAGGATATTCATTCTAAAGTTTTCAGCTCTGAATTATACTTCATTTTATATATAGTTCGTTTTACGTGCATCTTTCAACTTTTACAGGGCTAATCCCAAAATCCAATAAACATGTGAATTGTTTTAAGCCTTAATTCACGTGACCACCACAATGGTATTAATTCCTTTATTCAATATCCTTGAGTACTATAAAAAGGAAAACAGAGTAAAAAAAATCAATTTTATATTTTGCTGAAAAGGAATTGAGTCTTTGTCACAAACTATGATTTTCTAATCTCTATATCTTTGTAACCCAATGCCGTAGACCTCAGATATTTCAAACTATGAATTCTGTTAGATGAAAAAAAATCTAAGTTTGAAATATCAAAGGTTTACGCCATCAGGTGGAAAAAATATAGGTACTAGAAAATCAGAGTTTGTTACAAAGACTCAATTCCTTTCCTTTCCCAACCTTAAATTATAAAATATATTTGGAAATCCCAATATATTTTATATTTTACGGTTAATCCCAATATATTTTATATTTTACGGTTAATCCCAATATATTTTATATTTTATGGTTAATCCCATTATATTTTATATTTTACGGTTATTCTCATTATGTTTTATATTTTACGGTTAATCCCAATATATTTTATATTTTACGGTTAATCCCATTTGTGAAATAACTTTTCTTCAGGATTTGTCCGAATAAATGGAAGACGACTTTACCTGCCGGGTGCATGTGGATCGGTAAGAACCCTATTCTTCAGGGCCTCCTCCCTCAATATATTACACCAAACAGCTGCTCCTGATATCCAGAACAGCTGACGAGGGGTGTAGGGTAATCCAGGTAGAGAAAGCTCCTCCCCTTGCTCCTTAGTTAGCTTCTCGTAGGCTCTACAATAATAATCACACATTAGTAACCCTCAATGCAAAAATAAAAATCCCCGATTTACAACGGGACCCTTGAAAGCTTTGTCTGATCAAATATGAATAAAATATCAATAGTGTTTCTTTAAACTATTTATTTTTATTTTCAGTTTCTCTTCGATAATGACTTGCGCATTTCTTTTTTAAAAGAAGGAATGGAGATAATCACAAAATCAAAAAAATAAACACGTTTCTGTATCTTTTCCACATTAAAGGTTTCAGAGGTACCATTGTAAATCGGGCATTGTCATCTTTACATAGCGGTCACTTAAAACCACCCTAACAGTCCCATTAGGAAATTTTAATGGCCAATCTTATGACCTTTTAGAACTGTAGGTTTTTGGTAGCTAGTGGTACACTTGTGAAATCAATTTTAAAATGGTCGATAAATATAGTTTAATTTGTGGTTACAACTTTGCAAGTAAAACTGTTTTTATCTCTATAGATATATTTCATGTCTAGGTCAAATTGATAAAGCATTTTGGTAATTTTCAGCAAGTGATAACTTCGATAATTCTCGGTGATTCTAAACGAGCCATAGCCAATTCGATCAAAATCCTTCAAGTGTTCGATATATCAAACTGTTTTCGGACAATTTCTATGTTTCGAACACAATGATAGTCTACCAACCGACCTGTAAGCCTCCTTGTAACCACCATTATCAGCAATATTCTCCCCCTGGGTATTTATTCCGTTAACATTAAGGATTTCTCCAACTACTTCCACGGTGAAGTTACTGTACTGGTCTGAAATAAAATAAAATCAATAAATCCATTAAATTAGTCAAAATATCAAATTGTATATTTCAATCAAAACTAAAACATAAAACTAATTGAATTTTTTAAGTCTTGACTTTTAGGCAAAAAAGTATCTAAAATAACTTTAATTTACAAAATATATTTAAAATAACTTTAATTTACAAAGCATATGGCGAATCACGTAAAACTGAAGTATTAATGTTTAATGTAATATTGAAGTCTTGCATGTTGTTTGATCATAAATCCAGGTAATGAACAGCTATCAAGAAGAACAAAAATATGTTAAGTTCCTAATATGTAACTGAGTAAATTTGCTTCTCTCATGCTAAATCAAAACTAGAGGAGTTACAAGGTCACAAAGTCGTAGAAGTAATGTCGTATAAATTTGACCACCTTTTTTTGATGGCCCAATGCCGAAGATCGACAATGACGGTTGTTGACGATCGATAAAAATGATTGCTGAGGTTTTTACAGTTATATATTTAAAGAATTTTTTTTGAAACCAATACTTTTATGAACAAACGTTTAGATTTAGGATCTTTTATTTCGTTTCAGAAAAGTCAAACGTTTTTAATCTGATTTCTACCTATGATGCACTGGGCTCGTTCTAGATATTTCTTCTTAGTTTGGGGCTCCCACCAATCTACCAGGTTACCATCACCATCCTTCTGACTTCCAGTATCATCAAAACCATGGGTGATCTCATGTCCAACAACCACTCCGATAGCACCGTAGTTCATATAGCTGGGCCGGTCATCCTATACAGTGACAACTATAAAACTATGGAATAGAAATATTTGGAAAAGTAATATAGGAAAGGAATAAAAATCCGCCAAGAAGTCATCAGAAATCCGCAAAAATATGGATGAGCTCTAAACTAGATCGTAACATTTATCCCTGCCTGCAAAGACACTTTATTGAAAATGTACATGGTGAGTATAGGGAGTTTAAACAACATAATTTTACTATGTTACATTTGTTATGTCTCACTGTAGACACTGTATATTATACAAAAAATATATTATGAAAAAGGTTTGATGCAAAGTAGTAATGTTGCAAAAAAAAAAGGCAGAATAACAAATGCCAATGACTAAAAGTTTTAAATTTTTATTTTTTTCTAGGTGTAAAGGTTAAACAGCTTAATATTTGTTTTAATTCATACAACATACCGATGAGATAAGTATTTATTTGTATCCGCCCAACTCCATTAAGTTGTCATCTTTTATAATTGCTAACCCTGCGAAAGCTGGGAGGTCTGGACCCCCCCCCCCCCTCCCTCTAGAAAAATGCCTTAGAGTACAGGTGAACAGGTGACGGTTTAGGTGACATGCATCTTCATAGTCCAATTTTTAAAGACCAGCTCATTGACAAAAAAAATAAAACTGTTAATTTATAGTTTGGGTCAAAAATAGTTTTTGACAAATAATAAGATGATGACACATGTTTACATTGCATATTTTACAATGATCGGCCGTTTAGCTGTCCTGTACGCTGTACCCAACCCTGTGCAATTTTTTAAATTGCAAAAAAATCCTTTACATTACTTTCCTTTTTATCGGAAATTTTTAAGGTGATAGTGTGAAAAATGAGAGTGCTATGGCAAATTATATCCCCCCCCCCCCTCCTGTTTAGCGTTAAATAATCAAGACTGCCTGTTCTGATATGTCGTTAAATCAATTTTAGAATAAATCTAGTTTTCAGTTATTTTTTCTAGCTGTCAGATATCTGTCAAAAGTGACTTCATTTAAAAATTCTTGTTTTATAATTCAAACACTGCAAAAGGGTGTTAATACGTAAAATATTGATGTGTCAATTTAGAAATAATAGTTCGTTCTAGCTAAACGTAAAAACATGATTTCTCTCTAAAAATTTTGAATTACAGTGGCGTGTTCGATTTACAACATTACCCTTATGAAGCTTTGCCTGGTCAAGATGATTAAGATATCCATGTTTTTGTTTTTAAAAATCTAATTATTTTCATTTGTGGTTTCTTTACAACAATGATTTTCACATCTGTCGCTTCAGAAACAAGATTATTAATTTATGTTTCAAGGGTACCGTGTCAATTCTTTGAATTGACAAGCACTTTAAATTAAGTTTGCAGTTTCTTAAAGTTAGATATTATAATCATTAATTCTTTTTTCTGTAATTCTAAAAGAGTGATATTCATTTCTATTAAAGATATATCTTTAGTTTCTATCGAAATGAAATGTATTGCAGTTTGAACAATTTATGCTAGAAAACGTTTCATTTGAATTAAATTCTTTGAAAAGTGATTTTAATAATTAAATTTTGCTAACCTTTCAAATAACTGTCAAAAGTTAGATGATTTTTTAATTTCTTTTTATTACCTTAAAAAATACACCATCCAGGATACCAGCTGGGAACTGAATTGAGTTCTCATTAGGACTATAGAATGCATTCACAATAGCAGCACCACCATGAGTCTTCCAGCTAAATAAATAAGTTTTAATATTGAAAACCCAAAATTCTATCTTCGTGTACTTTTCTCCAAAATTTCCACTTACTTTTTATTTAACTTTTTTTAACATAAACTTTTTATGAATATTTCTATTTCTACCCTTAAAAAAATGGTGTAAAAAATATCTCTTACGTTTTAATTAGCATGATTAGTAGTATTTAAAAAAATAAAAACTCCTGAAAATTGGTCCCATATCATAAAATAAAACACCTTTTGATTTTCTTATATACCCTTGTTTAAAGATTATAATTGGCCGTTCTTGGGGAGAACGCAACCTATAGCTTGATAAGTGACTCCCCCCCCCTCGTCCAAAACTTGACTCTATAACCTAGCCATTTCAATTTTAATTCTAAATTGATTCTAAATTAAAAATACTCAAATACTCCTTGACCAATCTCTAAAATTAGTCCTTCACAAATCACCATGTTCTACCTGTGGTTGTCAATTGGGTCCCTGAACACCTTGACGTAGTACTCGTTGATGAAGGTCTTCAGCTTTAAGAAGTTCTTCAAGTAACTAGGAGAGTTTAAATCTAATCCTGAAAGTAAGGTTTACACTGTAAGGTTGCAAAGATTATAGAGATTAGAAAATTTAAGAGTGCGCCAAAAACTCAATTCTTTTAATATTAAAGTTTGGTCCTAAGATAAAAATTTTATTCTACAACTATTATTATGTGTTCTTAATTCTAGCCTTCGATTGAATTATTTCAAAGTTGTATAAAATTCTATCTTTTTTTATATAGTCTATTTCAGTTTTATAAGATTCTGTTTTTATTAGAGTATAGCTTAGTTTTCTAAAATTCTATTTTAGTTTTATGAGATTCTATTCCACCAAAATTTAATGTGATTCTATATCTACGCATTTTAAGTTTCATAACATTCGATTCTACTTTTATAAGATTCAATAAATGTTTCAAAAAGTGCATTTTAAGCTTGATAACAAATATGCCCATATATTGCATGACGTTTAAAGGTAAAGAAAGAATGGTTGACTTACCTTTATAGTGCTCGTTGATAAGTTTATCATCTAGAATTTCTTTGGCGTAACCAATAAATGGCATCATTTTATCCACCTTACTATGGGCCTTCTTTCTTGTAATATCATCCATCCAATCCAGCTCATCTAGCATAGTCTTAAACTCTTTCCTAAACATTAGTTTAATATCATCCATCCAATCTAGCTCATCTAGCATAGTCTTAAACTCTTTTCTAAACATTAGTTTAATATCATCCATCCAATCCAGCTTAAATCTAGCATAGTCTTGCCATAATGAAAACCAGAAAACTCTGGAATAAGAAATGGACTTTTAGACTCAAGTTATGACTTCTAATGGTCGTGACGCTATAATTTGCTTTAAAACAACATCAATTGCACTATTGCTTTAATGGCATCTCCCTATTCCAGAGTTTTCTGGTTATCACTGTAATTTAGAATTTACTTACTTGATATTGGAAACCATGTCATCAGCAATCTGTTTACTGCTCTCAGGGAAATATTCCTTGGCATACATTGCTCCAACTGCGTTTGTTAAAGAACCTAAAAAATATGCATTAAAATATTTTTTCAAGCAAAAATTTTTTTTAAAATATTATTAAAAATTGATTATAAAATTACCTTCATAGAAGTATAAATAATTCTCTCCGTTTCCTGAGTACAAATGGACAATTTGGACAATTTTCACTTTTTTGAAAAATTACTTTGGCCATTTAAAAAAAATATTAAAATATTTGCTAAAAAAACGGGGTTTTTTGATAGATTTGTTTATATAGTTAAATTCTGCCTTCGGGCATTTTACTTTTTACAAGTATAAAAAAAGAAACTAAAACGAAGCAAGATTTTTTTAACTCATTTAAAAAACATGTTCATATATATCCCCATTCCTGAAGTTGTTTTCACGCAAGTTTCCCACCTAAAATATAATATTTAATTATTTCTGATCAAATTTTTTTTCAAACATTGCAAAAGAGTATTTTTCCTTCAAAAAATGTAAGTTTGCTATGTCGGTTTAAAAAAAACGTTTCTCTATTTCTTTAATTATAATCTTATTTCTATTTCTTTAATTATAATCTTATTTCTAGCACTTTATTATCTAAATAGTTTGTTAAATTAGACAAAATCAGAGTAGAAAACTAACTTCAAGCCAATGTACAGTTTTCAATGTGCCGAACTGTCCTATCTCATTTTCTATACAGTCTTCGTCGTATATATCAATACAATGAAGATGAGTTTTAAAACCTACCATAAAAACATGGAAACAAAGAGAATCTGTCAATTAGCAGCTTCTCTTTACTTCCTTGAACATTTTTAAACAAAAAATCTTGTTAGAAATCAAAACTTAGATGGTAACCGTCGTCTTCATTGTATCGATATAAACGCCGAGCATCGTATGATTTCTTATATTTACCCGGCCTTCTTAATAGTTTTAGAATCAAATTTTGGCATTTCTGTTTAAAAGTAACTTGCGGATTTATGCTAAAGAGAAATGGAGGAAATTTTAAAAATTAGACAATACCTTCTTCCATATTATTTTGATCAGATAAAGGTTTACAGGTACTGTTGTGAATCGAGTGAGCTGTAAAGGGAGGGACCGGCTATGTAAGGTAGTTGAACTGATTGTGCAGTGTTGTGGAAAACTTCTTTCGGATTCATTTGAGACATATTACACCTTTTAAAGATCTGTGAATCCTGAGTTTGAGTGCAAATTTGACGTTCAAAACTCCTACTTTGGACCGTGGATACGTTTTCAGAATTAGTTTTTAAATAACGACAACGAAAAATAAAGTAAAAATTATACAGTAATCTATTTAGATGATTAGGAACATATTTCTCAATCGAAATTTGTCAATAAATCAATGCTAAAATCATTATTATATTGAATTTCTTATTTTCTTTGCATTTATTCGCAGATTTCTTCAAATTCTTTAAATGTCGTCTTTTCAATAATAATTCTAGAAAATCTGCAGAAAATCTTTGTAAAAAAATGAGAAACCAGAATAATGAGATAATAGAAACTAATAATTAAACGAGATTACTCATTTTCGATGATAAGATTAATTTTTTTCTTCTAAACATGTTCCTATACATGACGTCTGTAGTTTATTGAAGAACTTTTACATTTTATGTCGTCGTTATCTAATAATTAAAAAAAACTAATTCTGAAAACGTATCCACCCTCATTGTAGGAGTTGTATAAAAGAAGGTGAATCCGAAAGAAGTTTTCCACAACACTGCATACTCAGTTCAACTACCTTACATAGCCGGTCACTCCCTTTAAGTTAATACGACACCCTGTTAAGCTTTTCATACCTTGGACTTTCCTGTTCCTTTCCTGTGAGAACCATATTATACTTCAGCTGAATCTGTCTAGCCTCCTGATATTTGTTTTAATAAACTTTTATAACATTCTATCAAAATTTTGAAAATTAGCTATCAACTCAATATTTGATCATAGCAGAATCGAAAAGAAAAATGGCCGGTCAAGACACCAATTGACCTGTGCATGGTGCACTATAATAATCTTACTTTGAATTCTACAAGAGATTTTGATAGATTGAACTGTGTTTGGTCATTTTCGATAGATTGATAAAAACATGATGTTTCCCATATTTTAAAATATAAATTCCGTATGCTATAAGTGTTAACTACCAACCTTGTCGGAAAATGATACCATTCCCTTAATAAACCTCCAGAGCAGGTAATTAGCTTGTACACGGGCTGGTACACTGGGCATGTACACAGCCAACTTCTGTACATAAACTGGTACAGCTACATTTATCACCTCGCTGGAGTTTATTGGCACCTCCTGAAACATTGTATACATCTATATATATAAAGTGGTGTATGTCCTATCATAACTCATAAACCCCTTCTAAGTCTAAGTTGAGTGGGTCAGTTTCCCGATAAAATCGACTAAGTGCGGGTAAACGGCGGTAGAAATTATGAATAATATAAAACATTACAATGAATCGTGTACAATTGGGAATCAAGAAACTACATAAGAGATGAAGTAGAAATCTGCATTGATATTATCTAATTACAATGCATCAACAAATCCATGAATAAGATGTAACTCCTAGAAAGCTGAAACGTATTTGTTTTGATGTCGAAAACGTTTATATATTTAGTGGAACTCGTATATAATAAGCCATACAGTTTTTTGCTTGATATAAAAAGGGCAAATGGCTGAAATCTGTTCGATCTCAATATTTGATGCATAATCTTTGTAATTGTCTAGATAAGTGTGCGCTTACCGGATTATCTAGAATATTTCGAACATGATTTGTCCAGTTGAAGGCAGGATACATCTTGTTTCCCTCCTCTAACGTCATCTAAACAGATGTTTTAATTGTTTACAATGCTGCTCACGTTCCCCTTCCATCTTATAAACCCTTGTAAACGATTTTACTCCCAATTTATGTTCTTTAGATTGTGAATATTTGAAATTTCTCTTTCTTATATTTGATGATTTGAGGAGTTCGTTCCTCTTTTATCTAAAAACCTATTATTGGTTCAAATTTTTCTTTTTTTGTGAATTTTAGTTTTTTACCGATTTTGATTTAGTATTTTCAAGAAATGAAAATATATTTTAAAATATGTTTATTTGGGATTAGATTATTAGATTATTAGATTATTAGATTATTAGATTATTAGATTATTAGATTATTAGATTATTAGATTATTAGATTATTAGATTATTAGATTATTAGATTATTAGATTATTAGATTATTAGATTATAGATTATTAGATTATTAGATTATCAGATTATCAGATTATTAGATTATTAGATTATTAGATTATTAGATTATTAGATTATTAGATTATTAGATTATGACATTATTTAGTTTTGTGAGAAACTTTTTAGATATTTTGTCTTGAGCTTTTGAAGATTCAAGAAAGAAAATGGCGAGTTTTTGTTTAATTCTTACTTGGTTGTTTAGTGCTGTAGCATTTCTCCTTTCTTCCCTTGGTAAGCTCATCTCTGCCAGTTTTAGTTCGAAAAGAAGGGACTCCTAGAAAACTTAGTTTATATACATTTTTTATAAAGTGTGAAAATCTATTAATATGATCAAATTTGCATTGCCTCTACAAAACGCTATTAGCAAAACATTTGACCACGCCTCTTTTCTTCTTTATTTCCGGCTAAATTATAAATCACTTTACCAAAAATAGCCAAAATATATATATAACGAATTAAATAAATTTTTTATCAAATTAAAGATGATTGGGTGCCATTGTGAATTGGGTGATCAAACTAACCTCATTATTTGAAAGTCCAACACTGGATTTTAAAAAGTCACTGGGACTGTTCTTGGAAGGAGATTTTAGAGGACTTCTTCCAGTTTCAGGGACTCTCAACCTACCCTGGGGTACTCCACATACCACGGAGACAAGAAGGAGGAGGGCGAGTAATTTTACCATTTTCTCAACTCTAAACAATCCGGAATTTATTTTTGGTTGAAAAGTTTTACAAAAAAAACATGTTTATTTGGTTATGAATAAGATGCCTGAACAAGCATGAACAATATTTTTTAATATTATTTAGACATCATATGGTTCGATTAGCTTTTGTTAAGAAGCTTAAACTGTTAAAATCAAAAAACAAATGATAAATCGAAGGATTTGTTTGAAATGATTAAATTGTTGTGAAAAGTTACAAAATAAAAACTAGATTAAAGATATGAGAGAAAGTTTTTTTTAATCATCTCTAAGTAACTATAAAAGTCAGTGTTAAAGTTTAAATAAGATTGATGGTAAACAAATGTTAAACATATGAAACAGAAGGATTTAGGTTTACGTAATTTCCAGTAATTCTCTCATTTATATTTATTTGGTGCCCTTAAAAGCTTAGTCTGATTGTAGTTTTTTTCCCTTATAAAATTGATAGACTATATTTTCCACATAATAGATCAGATAAAGGTAAAGGCTACTGTTGTGAAAAGCGAATCCTCCTCATGAACCCTCACTGTGATTTAAAGGTATCACGCTCTCAAGCAAAAATCGATGAGAATTTTGCCAATTACTTCTTAAAAACCAAAGCTAACAACAAGTGATTTATAGTGCTAAAATGTACAATACAAGGGCTACGGAAAAGCATTAGCGAGTTAGAGCGGTAGATTCTAAGCCCAAGGTGTTGCGACACTTTAAAGTCGACCCTGTCTTAAAAATTGACGAGACTGTTTATATGTGGGCCCTTTTTGACCTGGGGGGGGGGGTCAATTTCCCCATACCCCCTCTAAATCACATGTTTGATGTACAAATATGACAAGGATACATCATTGGAAAGCTCATCCTCTACTTTTGCTAATTTTCAAAGATTGAAATTTATTTTGAAAAATCCAGTTGTATAGTAAAAAATGTTTGCAAAAAAAATGTCGAAAAAAAAGATAAAATTTACATTTCTTGACAAGCATTTGAATGTCTCATTTCGAATATGCAAAAATATTTGTAAAATTTTAAGTAACCTGATGTGAAAGTAATAAAAACTAAAATGTGCAAATAATTTGCAAATTTTTTTTTGCAAAACTTGTGCATTATGTCATAACTTTCCAAAATGCTAAAAATTATCAAAATCTGATAACTGAAAATGGTTCAAATAAAGATTTAGTTTGTTACAGGAAGAATGAGTCATTCAAACATTGTGCCTGAGGACTCCAGCAGTTAGTATAAAAGCCCGGTTCTAGACCTAATGCTTTTTGAGCTAATTAAAAAAACTACAGGGGGGGGGGGGTTAAATTGCCCCGCCCAGTTCAGAATTTTCCTTTAAATCTCAAAATTTCCTGAATAGACTTACTTGTAATAAGCTTGAACATCACCGTCCTCGAATCCTTTAATCAGATATTCTCGTTCAAGTCCTAAACTGGGTTGGTCCACCTCCATCATCCTATAGAAATATATAGAAATTATATGAATAAAATAAATAAATAAATACATATGGCCGGTCAAAATTAGAAAATAGAAATGCACCAAAATACTCTAAAAATCTACGTAATAATTTTTGTAATTTTGTGTACCAAGAAAATATATTGTCTATAAAAATGAAGAGAAAACTATTACAAGAAAGAGAGGCCCTCTAAGTCTAATTTTCTAAATTGTTACCCATTTTCTTAAAGTCATGCACTATATAAAAGAAAAATTATGTTTAGTTCTTAATTTTTTCAATAATAAAAAATATTTTTAATTTTTAATTTTTTTATTTGTTACGTTGCCTCATAGTGCTGTTATCGGGGTTTGTGGAGATTCCAAAACTTAAGATGTTCCCGCTATCAAGTCCAATAATGTTTGCAGCCTCTAAAAATAAAGTTGATTGCAAACCAATGATAACCTCAAAACTACAAATATACAAAAACAATATGATCAATTTATTAAAGATCTAAAACAATTTGTATTAAAGTTTTTTTAAGTCAAAGGAATTGAGTCTTTGCCACAAACTCAAATTTTATTATCCTTTATCTTTATAACCTGATGGTGTAAACCTTTAATATTTCAGACTAAGATTATAAGATCTAACAGAATTAATAGTTTGAAATATCTAAGGTCTACGACATTGGGTTGCAAATATATAAGGATTAGAAAATCAATGTTTGTTGCAAAGACTCAATTCCTTTGTTATGTGGCATATTCATTATATACGTAGATACTAATAACTATTTTTTCTTCGAGACTAATTCGAGAATTAAACTACTTTGAGTATAACAATATACAATTCATTATCTTTAAATTAGTATAATAAAGCGGGATATGATGATTAAAACCTTATAGAGTCAATAAAGTAGGCGATAATTCAATAGTTTTTGAAAATATAATTAATTACATTACACTGCAGTGTTTGGTGTTTATCTCAAGCTAACAAGCTTTTTCCAAATTACAAGCTTACAAGTAAAGCTTAAAGAATCTGTTAATCGGCAACATTTTAATTTGTTTCCAAGCTGTTAAAAAACTTTGTATAGATCAAAATTTAAATAGAAAGTCGTCTTCAATGTATTGATATATATTATATTAAGATATGAATTTTAATTAAGGTAAATACCATCAACAGCGTGCCAGGTGAATTTATCTTCCTTCCATTTATCTCCTTGAAGAGTTGGCCAGCCTCCTAGCTTATCCACCAGCTCAAGCATAGTTTTTCTACTTGTATCCTCTATACTAGCCTATAATCAAGCAAGCAAGCAATCAATTCATTCATTAATTCATTTATTTTTTATTCAAAAATCAATTCATTCACCAGTATTATAATTAATTTATTAATCAATTCATTAATTAATTTAGATATTAATTCATTAATCAATTTAATTATCAATTTATTAATCAATTCATTAACTAATTTAATTACTAATTCAATAAAAAAATCATTAATAATAAATGAATCAATTTACTGATTAACTCATGAATAAATTCATTAATAAATTCATTTATTTAATTTTATTTAATTATCAGTTCGTTAGTAAATTTATTGATCAATTCATCAGTTCACTCAAAAATCAATTCAGTAATTACTATCAATTTATTAATTTATTAATCAACTCATGAATAAATGTATTAATCAATTCATCAGCCCATTCAAAAATAAATTACTATCAATAATTTAATTATCTGTGGATTAAATTAAATTTTTTTCTAATTTTTTACCTGATCCATACAGCTCTTATAATATTTCCTAACAGATTCAAATACCGCAGGTTCATTAGGTTTGGATTTAGACTCAAATAGTTTCCTGAAAATAATGAGTTATCTAGAAATCAATCAAATATAAATGTCAGTAACCAATCAAATATAAAACAGGATATCAATCAAATATAAATGTCAGCAACCAATCAAATATAAAACAGGATATCAATCAAATATAAATGTCATCAACCAATCAAATATAAAACAGGATATCAATCTAATATAAATGTCAGCAACCAATCAAATATAAAACAGGATATCAATCTAATATAAATGTCAGCAACCAATCAAATATAAAACCAGAATTCAAGTCAGTTTATGTAAATATTTAAAATCCTCTCCATTTTAATGAGCTAATGAGATGTAAACATTATGTTTATTTTGTTGATTAACCACTTGCAATTAGGACTGGGCAAAGTTCTGTTAACGAACGGCTTGAAAAAAGTTAGAACGTGCCCTGTTCTACATCTTAAATGAAATTTATATATTTTTATTTTTGAAACAAACAGTCCTTAAAAAGAAAACGAGTATAAAAAACACTTCATGAGGTGAAAATAAGAAGTTTGAGAGATAATGAAACACCACCCCCCCCTCTCCCGCCCCCACCTCGTTCTGGACAACGTTTCAGACACCCCCTCCCTCTCTGATTAAACCAGAATGGAAAAAGAGATTTCCAAACTGGGTTTTTATCTCTGTTTTATATATACCCTAGTTTATAAACCTGATATAATTGAGGGGGCGAAGCAATGGCGTATTTTAACAAAGAACCTCAAAGAACCTTAGAGACATTACAGGTTTAGGTTTTTACAAACAACTTACAGAGTGACATGTTCGATTCACAATGGTACTCATTAAACATTTATCTGTAATTATGAGGAAGATATCCTCGTTTTTCTATCTGAAAAACATTGCGTGAAAAATTCTGAATAAATGTTTTGATAAAAAAAGAGGAATATCTCATTCATTGTGAATCAGACAAAGATTTGATAGGATACCGTTGTAAATCGGACATTCCCCTTTACAACTAAAAGGTTACTTGAAGTTGCTTTAGTCTATTTAATACAATATTTCTTAACGGAAACTGTTGAATTCAAATCTTTACAACTAAAGGGTTACTTGAAGTTACTTTAGTCTCTTTAATGCAATATTTCTCGGAAACTGTTGAATTCAAATCTTTAAAAATGAATGGAACTTTCTTTTAAGAAGTATTTGTAAAACCTCTCCAATATTTCTAATTAAACTCTGATTTTCAAATCACTTCCAAAATTTTTAAAATAATTAAAAAGCACCTTTTTAATAATCAGACTCACCTAAGTCTTTCGTAAAGCTTATCACGAACAAGAGTAAAAGCTCCTAAAATATTTAAAAAAAATATATTTTTTGAACTAATTTTAGTGAAATAAATACCTTTTGTTGTTTCATGATCAGCAATTACTGATTCTTTGATAAAATTTCCACAGGCAAAGTCATAAAAATCATTGCAAGGATCCTAAAAAGTATAATAAATAATATAAGAAAACATGAAAGAAGAAAACTGATATAAAATATTGAATTCATTATTAATGATTTTTAAATCAAAATATGATTTATCTTTGATTTTTTAAAAATAATTGTTGTGAAAAAGTCCAAAAAAAAATACTAAAACTGTTCTAAACTTTTACAATCTGCTTTACTTTGTCCCGGTTTTTCTAGAAAGATCACTTATAAAAATCCAAAAAGCGAAAGTGGGCTTAAAATGTTTTTTTCTCATAGAAAAAAAGAACCAATTTACGTAATATGTCAGATAACCCATGCAGCGGGTGTAAAAGCCAGTATTAGACCTTAAGAATGTATTGTTAGTTAAAGTCAACAAAGGAGTATAATGGCCACGAAATAAAAGCTTCATTTTCTTAAATCATGGATTCAGTTTTCGTAGATCTGAGCAATTTAAAACTACTATAATCAACGTTTAAAATATCAAAGGTTCACTGTCACATCACATCAAGTTCAGAAGATGAGAGATTGAATTGTTTCAGACGTAAAAACAGTTGCTTTGAACTTCCCCCCATCCTGATGCTTTTTTAAGATCTTTGGTACTTTCCCAAAGGATTTTTCCCAAGTGCAACTTCCCAAGGGTATTTTTCAAGTGGCAAACTTCCAAAATGTGCAATTTCCTAAGCGGTAACTTCCCCAGTCTATCCTAGTCGCAGCGCTTGACCCCCAGCATATTCTAGCCGCGGCGCTTGGCACCCTATCCCTTCCTAGCCGCAGCGCTCGGCCCCATTTCAGCTTGCAGCGCCTCGGATGGCCTAACCTAACCTTTGAGAAGTTGCCCCTACAGAAATTGCACATTTGGGAGATTGCTAATTGAGAAATTGTCACTTGGGAAGTTGCCTTATGGAAAATGGCTCATCTGAGCTATTCCAAGGAAGTAAGCCCCCCGACACCACCCCCCACCACCGCCTCATTCCAAAGCTATTTCAAGGGGGCCGTCTTGCCCTTCTTATCCCAATGCTATTTCAAGGGTTGTCTTTCCCTGCCCCCCTTGATCCCAATTCTGGTTCAAGGGGGGTTGCTCCCCGGAGCCCCCCCCCTCTTCTCTATTTTATACTTGTTCTTTATCAATCATATCCAGAACAGTAGCCGCAGCCTTAACACAGCCAGGAGTCAAACATACCTTCTCCTTAATAACACATTTTGAGAACACTAAAAAATTATGATAAAAATTAACAATAACGAATTATGATAACAATAACAAAATAACAATTAATGATAACAATATCAAATTATGATAACAAAAACAAATTTCGATAGCAATAAAAAATGATGATTATAAATAACCAATTATGATAACAATATCAAAGTATGATAACAATAACAAATTAAGATAACAATTAAAAACATCTATGCTGAAATGCACAGATAAAATACTATTTATCGCTAAGTTATGAGAAAAATAAAAAATAAAAATTCGGTCCAGTCGTTTGGCCAGCTATAGCTAACATATGAATAAATATATATGAGCGAAGAGCTTTATTATATACACATAGATTAAAAATAGCTACAAAAACTTTTTCATTTGAACCTTCTTAGGCAAACTAGTAATTATTATCATATCATTTTTCTCCTAAATGAAGGGGGTTCTCTTTGAAGGGGGCGGAGGGGAGGGGGAGTT